AGTAGTAGTAGTAGTAGTAGTAGTAGTAGTAGTAGTAGTAGTAGTTGTTGTTGTTGTTGTTGTTGTTGTTGTTGTTGTTGTTGTTGTTGTTGTTGATGATGATATTATTGGTATTTTTTGTTATACCCTCGACGAAACCCGATTATTCAGCGAAACGTTGAACCACGTATTTGATACACTAAAACGTCTACAATATAGAACAGTCTCTGCAAGATTTTCTACAACACAACAATAATGATGATGACAATGACGGTAAACCCCCCTTCTTATTAAGCTTTCTCACAAACAATTCAGAGCACTTAACCCCGTAACGACACACACTTCAGTGCTTTCAACACAGGTCCGTGAGAGCCCCGGGTTCTGTGGTGGCAACAATATAGTACATGCAGCCCTCCATGACAAAACACATTTTATCCTTTTAAAATAAAATTGAGAAAAATGAGAAAGAAAAGATTACACTCTGAAAACAAAAGTATGAATTAAACTCAATTTAATCATACTAAATAATGTGGAGGGATGCAGTGCATTTTGAAAACAAAACAAAATATTCCCACACAAATTCTGATCATAAGATTAATGTGTTTTTCACTATTGCTTTTGGAAATGTCCGGATTTGGCGTATAGTGCTTTTTGCAATAGAACCCCTCATCTATTTCAGATGTCAAAGTAACTTTCCACACTTTGATAATGTAGGCCTATCTCCTTTGGTCTGTCAGGACCATAGATTTGTCTTATAACATCCAAGGCGGAGTACTTCTGCCGTAATTCCAGTTCACTATGGAGCGCACCATTTGGCTCTTTTAAAAACAAAATAAAGGGCTAAGATGGAAAAGTTTCGGGGGCCCTCGACTACACGACTATAGATAGATTAGTGCTTTGTTCTTCATTTGAGCGCCTAACCAGCGTAGATAGTTAAGAGTGGCGGCCTTGACTGTGCCCGGTGTATGACTTTATGATTCAAACACAATGGTTTCAACGTATCCCACCCAGGCCGGACTGAGCAAACTGTCTCATAAACCGCCTAAGAAGTATTCGCCATGGATACAAAGCCAAATACAATAGAAAGAGAGATACATTGGCACCAAAAATAGCAAAAACAACAACAACAACAACAATAGCAA